GCGCACAGCCGCACACCTTCCCATCTTCCATTCGTTCCTCGGGAAAACAGAAACGGCAGGGAGCTGAGCAGTGGTGCAGTGCAGATCCCAGCAACAGGACTGACTCACGTCGCCGGGCAAACAACAAGAGACGAACGGACAGGAGACGACAGCGAGAGTCCACCTCCCGGCTGACCTCGGGTCAAACACGCGGCGGCTGCAGCGATTAACGTTTTTACAAACGTGTCGCCTGCATCGGCATCAATGACGCCTGCTCCCTTTTTCATTTAGTCTGCATTACATAATGAGCAACTTGCCAAACATGCACTCACAATCGCAGCAGCGACGACTGTACAGCTTTGAAGGGCATTAAATATTAGCCGAACGATGCAAGAGGAGGTGAACGTGCACGAATACGTTTAGGCTTCCAGCCACGGCTGCATCATTAACACGCGGCTTTCTGCTGTGACCACACACACTCATTACTGCCCTCAATAAACACCGGCGCACAAATCTTCCCGTATTACATTATCACATCACTGAAGCGTAATTCCCGGCGGAGCAGCCTCGCGGTTTAATGACTTCAATAAAGTTGGTTTACATATCAAAAACCTGAGTAGATATTGAGCGACCAATAGGACAGAAATAGGCGCACAATCTGCCATAACTCAGAAGTGTTTGGCACATTTACAGATATGAGATATTCCTCTAAAGTGGCCTGAAAGGAAGTTGCATTAACTGTAGCGTGCTTAGAACAAAAGCTGGACTCTCACGGCTAACAAATGCATGAGAAGGAAAAGTCTGCATGTAACAAACAGAGTAGCTCTTAATAAAATGGTGCATGTGAATGACAGGACAAGCGTTCTCTTCAGAGGAGTTGGCGTTGCCCCCAGGCGTGCTTGTCCTCATGTGCATGTAGACACATGCGAGTGTGTTTGTGCAGCAGGCAGTGGGAGTGTGACACAGCCTCCCCTCTCAGTCTGCAGCCGTCTGCGTGACAGTAATAAGCTGTGTTTATACCGGTGGCTACGATTGAGTATCCTAATTATGGAAATGCTGAGGATTGGTGCCAGTCTGGTTTCTGACAGCCCCGCAGCTTCTGCTGAGAGTGCGCACAAACACAGCACACACGATTTCACTCACACAGACCTGAGGAAAGACAGAGCGTGGATGTTTACACGTCTTTTTTGTCGCACTCGGGCCCCTCCTACCTTGCTGTGCTGAACGGGCCTGTGTGCGCAGTGGGAGCGACCATCCTCCAGTCCTACGTACGGAGATTCGCCACCGCCAGCTGCAGTACAAACATCTGGAAAGAGAGATTGTGGAGAGAGAGAGTCAGCGTGCGTCTATTTGTGTTTGATGGTGTTTTAAGCTCGTACCGCCTCTTGAAGCGCATCTTTCTAACCCACAAAGCACAAACAATGCAGACGAGAGTCAGTCTGAAACCGCTGTGGGCGACTTTGTCGTGTACACAACTTAAATATGTCTCCAAACTAAAAACAGCAAGGGCAGAAAAGCAACAAGCACACGCCTGGAAATCCTAATTAAAGACTCCGTTATCTCTTTCCTTGCTCGACTGGGAAAAAAACAACAACTCTGGAGATAAAGTTTGCTGCTAGTCCAGCCTGAAAAATGTCTGCAAATAATATTTGCATGATTACAGCATGACAAACAGATAAACAGTGTTTTGAAAATCATTTTTCAGCCTCCTCCTGGTTAAAATTCAAGGTCTGGAGGACACGCTCTCTAGCAGCTGGCACATGCGAGATTTCTGATTGTCGGCTGGGAGGCAGGCCAACGTGTCGGCGGGAAACAAAAGAAAACTTCTGGGCCTCCCGTTGAGCCGAACTTGGCATTTTTTAAGCCGGCAATCATCATCAGCCAACGTCTGATAGCTAGGCCGCAATTTCTAAATATATCTAATCATCCGCTGTCGCTTCTCTCGTCTCGTACGTTGCATCAGGCTGAATGACGCCAGATGACAGACGTCTTCCTTCTAGGAACGCCAC